CATTTGGGATCAATAAGACTTTTTATTTATAAGGATTTGTTTAACTGAGAAAAAAAGATCAGATTGATCAGATTTAATTGATCAGAATTTCCACAAAACTATTAAGCAGCACAACGGTTTCAACATTGATAATAATAATAAATGTTTCTTGAACACCAAATCAGCATACTAGAATGATTTCTGAAGGATCATGTTACACTGAAGACTGGAGTAATGATGCTGAAAATTAAACTTTGGTTTGGTATAAATTACATTTTAAATATTTTAAAATACAAAATCATTTGAAATAGTAATACAAGCTGACATAAGCTTAGTTAAGAGACTTTCAAAATATATATTTTTTTAATCTTATCGAGACCCATATTATTAGTATATTATATATTATATTATTATTATATCATTCAAAACTAAAGACATTGTTGTGTTGGCATCTCACTTTACCGTTTGGAGTTTTTTGGGAACAGCCGCGCGAGGTGGAGGAGGTGCATCTCCACCATCACTGGAGTCATCTGAACCCTCCTGCTCCACTTTCTCCTCAGCTGCAGTCTTTCTAAGGCCAGCACTCACAAAGTTAACAGGAGCTGAATAGTCTTTCGATCTGTGTGGATACAAATATCAATATTGTTTATTGTCTTAAAATGACATTTACTGCTTATTCACCAAGGTCTTTAGCTGTTTGACAGCTGAAACATTATCAACAACAACCAAATACCTTTTCCCCCCAAAGCTGGGCTGCTCATCATCAGAGTCATGCTCTGCCCAAATCCCATAAGTCACTTCTTCTTTGGTCTGTCTGTGTCTGCGTCTGTCTGGGTTGAACTCATTGGCCAAGTCCCATTCAGACACCTCAAACTTCTCAATTTCCACACCATCCTCCTCATCACCTCTACGCCCATACAAATGGGACATTGACATCTCTCTGCTGGAATTAAACAGAATAATGTTTTAGGCCAGGGTTTTCAAACCAGGGTCCCGGGAGGCTGTAAGGGAGTACTAGGGGGTCCAAGGAAAATTTTTGAGAAAAACAGTGTAACAAATGTAAGATCAAATAAATTATAAAAAAAAATAAGATAGATAGATGATAGATAGATAGATAGATTAAAAAAATTCTGTAGTTTTTACAAAATAATTTTGGCAGCTGTGGTTGCCAGAATAATTTTGTAAAAAATACAGAAAAACTGTAAACACATTTACGGCCCAAAACTATATTTTACAGTATAAAACTGTAATTTACAAACAAGAAAATTTGAATGTAAACCAGTAAATTCAACAATGCACACTGCTATTAAAATCTATTTTGTACCTTGAACATACTGACAACCACCATAAAAATAAAAAGCTTGTAAGAATCACAAGTAGCTTCGCCACAAGCAGAAGTATATACTAATACATAGAAGGTGCACAGAGTCATTCATGCAAACACAAAACACCATCATGGTAACACACATGATACTTAAATAATGCATTAAACAACAGAAGATGTAACAAAGCCCAAATATACATAACTAATAACAAAAACCAGATTCCAAAAAAGTTGGGACACTGTACAAATTGTGAATAAAAACAGAATGCAATGATGTGGAAGTTTCAAATTTCAATATTTTATTCAGAATACAACATAGATGACATATCAAATGTTTAAACTGAGAAAATTTATAATTTTAAGGGGAAAATAAGTTGATTTTAAATTTCATGGCATCAACACAAGTTGGGACAAGGCCATGTTTACCACTGTGTGGCATCCCCTCTTCTTTTTATAACAGTCTGCAAACGTCTGGGGACTGAGGAGACAAGTTGCTCAAGTTTAGGAATAGGAATGTTGTCCCATTCTTGTCTAATACAGGCTTCTAGTTGCTCAACTGTCTTAGGTCTTCTTTGTCGCATCTTCCTCTTTATGATGCGCCAAATGTTTTCTATGGGTGAAAGATCTGGACTGCAGGCTGGCCATTCAGTACCCGGATCCTCCTCCTACGCAGCCATGATGTTGTAATTGATGCAGTATGTAGTCTGGCATTGTCATGTTGGAAAATGCAAGGTCTTCCCTGAAAGAGACGACGTCTGGATGGGAGCATATGTTGTTCTAGAACTTGGATATACCTTTCAGCATTGATGGTGCCTTTCCAGATGTGTAAGCTGCCCATGCCACACGCACTCATGCAACCCCATACCATCAGAGATGCAGGCTTCTGAACTGAGCGCTGATAACAACTTGGGTTGTCCTTGTCCTCTTTAGTCCGGATGACATGGCGTCCCAGTTTTCCAAAAAGAACTTCAAATTTTGATTCGTCTGACCACAGAACAGTTTTCCACTTTGCCACAGTCCATTTTAAATGAGCCTTGGCCCAGAGAAAACGCCTGCGCTTCTGGATCATGTTTAGATATGGCTTCTTTTTTGACCTATAGAGTTTTAGCCGGCAACGGCGAATGGCACGGTGGATTGTGTTCACCGACAATGTTTTCTGGAAGTATTCCTGAGCCCATGTTGTGATTTCCATTACAGTAGCATTCCTGTATGTGATGCAGTGCCGTCTAAGGGCCCGAAGATCACGGGCATCCAGTATGGTTTTCCGGCCTTGACCCTTACGCACAGAGATTGTTCCAGATTCTCTGAATCTTTGGATGATATTATGCACTGTAGATGATGAGAACTTCAAACTCTTTGCAATTTTTCTCTGAGAAACTCCTTTCTGATATTGCTCCACTATTTTTCGCCGCAGCATTGGGGGAATTGGTGATCCTCTGCCCATCTTGACTTCTGAGAGACACTGCCACTCTGAGAGGCTCTTTTTATACCCAATCATGTTGCCAATTGACCTAATAAGTTGCAAATTGGTCCTCCAGCTGTTCCTTATATGTACATTTAACTTTTCCGGCCTCTTATTGCTACCTGCCCCAACTTTTTTGGAATGTGTAGCTCTCATGAAATCCAAAATGAGCCAATATTTGGCATGACATTTCAAAATGTCTCACTTTCAACATTTGATATGTTATCTATATTCTATTGTGAATAAAATATAGATAGATTGATAGATTGATAGATAGATAGACAGATAGATTGATTGATAGATAGACAGATAGATAGATGATAGATAGATAGATAGATTGATAGATACATACAGATAGATAGATAGATAGATGATAGATAGATAGATAGATAGACAGATAGATTGATAGATTGATAGATGATAGATAGATAGATAAATGATAGATTGATAGATGATAGATAGATAGATGATAGATAGACAGATAGATAGATGATAGATAGACAGATAGATAGATAGATAGATAGATAGATAGATAGATAGATGATAGATATAGATGATAGATAGATGATAGATAGATACACAGATGATAGATATAGATAGACAGACAGACAGATAGATGATAGATAGATGATAGATGATAGATAGATAGATAGATAGATAGGCAGATAGATAGATATAGATGATAGATAGATGATAGATAGATAGATTGATTGATAGATAGACAGACAGATATATGATAGATGATAGATAGACAGATAGATTGATAGATAGATAGACAGATAGATTGATTGATAGATAGACAGATAGATAGATGATAGATAGATAGATAGACAGATAGATTGATAGATAGATGATAGATTGAGAGATGATATATAGATAGACAGATAGATAGATGATAGATAGATTGATAGATAGATAGACAGATAGATTGATAGATACATACAGATAGATAGATAGATAGATGATAGATAGATAGATAGATAGACAGATAGATTGATAGATGATAGATAGATAGATGATAGATAGACAGATAGATAGATGATAGATAGACAGATAGATAGATGATAGATAGACAGATAGATAGATGATAGATAGACAGATAGATAGATGATAGATAGACAGATAGATAGATGATAGATAGACAGATAGATAGATGATAGATAGACAGATAGATAGATGATAGATAGACAGATAGATAGATAGATAGATGATAGATAGATGATAGACAGATGATAGATAGACAGATGATAGACAGATAGATGATAGATAGATGATAGATAGATAATAGATAGACAGATAGATAATAGATAGACAGATAGATAGATGATAGATAGACAGATAGACAGATAGATAGATAGATGATAGATATAGATGATAGATAGATGATAGATAGATAGATAGATGATAGATAGATGATAGACAGATGATAGATAGACAGATGATAGACAGATAGATGATAGATAGATGATAGATAGATAGATGATAGATAATAGATAGACAGATGATAAACAGATGATAGATAGATAGATAGATAGATAGATAGATAGATAGATAGATAGATAGATAGATGACAGACAGATGATAGATAGATGGATAGATGGATAGATAGATAGACAAAAACACACCAAACAGTGCTACAGTGAGTAAAAATAAGAAAAATAAACTAATTATATTCTCACGTTTATAATATTATTTTTACAGTATAAATTTTAAACATGAAAATACATCGCTGCCTTTTCAAATTTTAGGATGATGATAATAATTGGGGCTCCGTGACCTAAAAGACTGAAAACCCCTGGTTTATGCACAACAGTATTTACATAAAGGAGTGGAACCTGCTTAACCTGCTCACATTAAACACATACGATAAAAGAAAGTGTTATTGCTCGTAATATTAGTACGTCAGGCAAAGGTTTTCAAAAAAATATACAGGTTAGCATAGCATTGCTATTTTTTGTAAACAAACGCACATGCTTTCTTTTAAAACAGTTAACGTTACTGTGAATTCTCCACCACGTCCAACGTAACGTACAAACAGCTCTGAGCTGAAACAGAAGCGCTCAAGCACATAAACAATATTTTAATTTAACCTGATAATGTGGTTCTGTCAGCAAGAGCGTATCCAAAAGCAACTTCCTGTCGGCGCCGGAAGCAGAGCTGTGACATCAGAGCGACGCAGAGGCCAGGAACCCTCTCTTACAGCCATCTTGGATCCTGTTCCCTGAACTAGTGAGTACTTCTGTGTTACATCTATTGTCATCCTAAGCTGTTTTGATGCTTTTGACCTCTGATTTACTACTTGTATCGACGCTTTAGTGTTCCTCTGTGCTGAACGGTAAAGATTTGTTAGTTTGGCTCAATTATTGAGGAAATATCTTACTGAATACAACCGGCTGACTGTTCAAAATGGGGGAGCGAGACGCACCTGCGTTGCTGTATGCGAGGACTTTGAGCCTAACGAAACGTTCAAAACATACGAAATATAGTTTTATAAACCACTAAAGCGATATTTGTTTAAAGTCTTTAATGTAATGACAAAAAGCACTTGCTTTGTGTGCGTCAGTAATCATTGGAAAGTTGATCTCGCCTATTAGACAAACAATTTATAAACATACAGAGATAACGTTACACGTGCTGTGATAGCATTACAATATAAAAGGTCAAAAACTAATTTGCTAGTGTTGTCCGCGTTGTTTTGTTTTCACTTGGGCAGTGCTTCTCTCAAACAGCAGTAGTGTGTCAGTGCTGCTGTTACACGCGTGAAGTGTGCACCACACGCGCACCTATGACCAGCCTGTGAAACAATGCTTTTGTGTAGTTATGCTGAATAGGCCATGTTATGTGCTTGGGTTTTTATCAAACTCGATACTTGATCAGATGTGAGCCAGAGGCCTAGTGTGCTGCTCACTTTGAATAGTAAACATATAAAGCCACATGAATATAAAGCACAGACTAAAACTTCTTATTGACTTCATTTTTGCGAAGCTAATGATCTTTGTATTATGCCAATTTCTGTTGCAGTCCAGAATGCCAGGCGAAGCCACAGAAACGGTCCCTGTTACAGAGCAGGAGATGCAGCAGCCCCAGGCGGAGACGGGTTAGTACTGCCGTTGAATTTGCATGTCTGACACTAAATGCAGTTTGTGGAAGGGGTCCTGGAGCTGTAGTTTTATTAATTTTGGCAGTTTTTATTTTTAAGAATAAAGCAGTTGCAAGTTTGATCAGTCTATTTATGGTGATTTTGCACCTGTTTTAGATTTCCTTCGGGGGGGGGGTTATGTCCTCTACCAGCTGTTGTAGACTTCACAAAGCAGGTTTCTGTAGTTGGAGTGGTCACATGTTGATTTGTAGGGTGGGGATGCCATTTGAGTCCACCTAGATGTTTTTAAGTTAATGTTCTTGAGCCCCTCCCTGGATTAAAAACTGCACTAGTTCGGTTAAAGGGATAGTTTGGCAACATTTTGTGTTGATCCAAACTAGGTATGGGCATTGGAATATTTGGGCTCATAAAAAACAAATATTCAAGTATGCGTTTATTTAAATGACGTTTAACGAGATAATTTTTTAATAATCAAGTTTTTGTCACCATTTCTGAACAAGCTTATGATTAGGCATTATAGACAACAATGTTACGAAAACGTGTGTAAACTACGTATATATATCAAGCTCCGGGTGAAAGGTGGCTTCTCGGACTGATAACAATAAGAACGCGCGCCGACACAGACGTTCCAGAGAGACACAAAGATAATGGTGTGCTAAGCAAAGTTTCTTACAGCGCTTTGTTTTCTGTTTTTAAACCAATCTCACTCGAGGAAACGTAAAGGAAGCGTATGTCTCAAGATCATTTCGCTATCAGATAAGCTCTCTTCTCGGCTCACTTGGGGTATAGCTGCGCTTACCTGCAGTCGTGAATGCAGTGATGGAGAGCTGTCTTTCCTCAGTCAACTGGTGTTTGGGTTTCACGTGATTTCTCATTGTGATGGTGATATTATGATAACTAGTCCAAACGAGTCGTTCGTTGTAGTTTTTGAAAAGTGATTTCTGTTAAATAAAAGATCTCCTTTTGAAGTGGACTTTGAGCTTTGTAACTTTGCAGATCTTTTTTATGCTCAAACAGCAACATTACAGACTAACTAAAGTTGAAAAAGTGAAAAAGCATAATAGGACCCCTTTAATTCTTTTGTAGTTAACATGTGTCTTTTCTTCTCCACCTGTTTTTTTTCTGACCCCACTATCCCAGTGAGGTTCAGTCTGAGTTAAACCTCTTTTTTTGGCTCATTTTATCTGTAAAAGAAAACATGCCTAATAATTCTGCACACCTGAATATAAGGAGTTTTTCACTTCCAGCCTTCATGGACAATTATACAGTATATCACTTATAAATGATTAAATACAAAATTAATAGTAGTTATTAAGATTGTTGTGGTTTGGAATTGGTAAAATGTGCTTGGGAAAAAAATATGATCAGAATATCAGTGTGCTTAATAATTATGCACGCTGTGTATAAAGAACAAAAGCATTCAAGCTCAAGCAGAGCAAATGGAAAAATATAACAGACCGTACCAATTACAGTACAAAACGTACATACACTCGAGTCGGCCTGTGTTCATGGTGTTTATATTGTTTCACATGTTAATGTTGAGAAAAACAATAATATCCACATGCTTGGGTGAAAGTTTGTTCCTCAGTCTGATAACAATCAGAACGCGCCGACAAAGAAAACAGTGTGCTAACAGTTTTCTCTCTTCTTGGCTCACTTGGAGTACAGCTGCGCTTACCTGCAGTCATGAATGCAGTTATGGACATCTGTCTTTCCTCAGTTGACTGCTGTTTGGATGTTTAATGTGATTTCTCATTGTGATGGTGATATTATGATAACTCAGTTTCACTGATTCAAACTACACCAGATGACATTCTTTGATCAAGTACAATCAACTTAACACGCTCCACAGCGCCACCCAGTGCATTTATTTATAACTGACTTTTAGGATGTATTCACACCAGGAAAGTCCGCTAGTTCACTTGCTTTGGTCCGGACCAAATACAATGTTGATATTACATTTTTTTTAGTGTGGTTTGCTTTCACCCTTTTTGCAAGTGAACCAGAAATTGTAAACAAAACCACACGTGTGCTAAGGTCATCCATTCATTGGACCGAAATTCTCGAGCGTACCAGAGCTCGTTTGGAACCGGACCTCTTCAGCTGGGTCTCGGTGCGGTTGTTTGGTCCGCACCCGAGTGCGATTGCTGTATTCACACCTGCCCAGAAGATCACCAAGGGGGGAAATAAACATGAGTTCGATTCAATCGAACCAAACAAGACAGGTGTGAATGCACCCTTAGTTTGCGTGCTTAGGATTTATCATGGATTCCCTGCAGCACGTAGTAAAATTCGAATAGTGTGTTTATTTTTCCAATAATAATTACAAATCGACTATTTGTGCACACCCCTAATCCAAACCTGTGTGAATTTTTTTTAATGGGAACACAGATGATTTTTTGGAGAATCTTTTTGACTTTTATTGTATAGACTAATAAAATGTCTTATGACAGTTGAATTAACTCTTTAAGCAGCAAGTCATACCTACAGTGTAGTTTTGAGATTATGAAATTTTCATCATTTACTTATGGATATAATGATTGGTAATAAGGTAATGACAACATTTGGTTCTGAAAAACAATCGATCCAGGACTGCCTTGCCCAACAGTGTGTGCCTGTACTGATTAATATTACACTAAAGTTGAGTTTGATATTAAAGTGATATTAAAATGCCTCCTTAAATCTTTGTGCGTGGAATTTGGACAGTGCCACTCTGCATGAACATTTTCCTAACATCTCACAGAATTTGAGTGATTGCAACCTGAATAACTGTAAGAAATTTATAACAAGGGTTTATTTTTAAATATTGTCTTAGATTAGGAAGTGTATTAGGCTTTACTGGGATTTATTGTGTTCAGGAATGTATTTGCAAGCCTTTGTGATCTTCGTGAGGAGAATCATGCAATTTAACATGTTTCCAAATTATTCTGATTTTGAGGAAAACAAGCTTTTCTGTATATATCTTGATGTACAAGCTTTTTGGGTCATTTTTTCACAATGTAAATGTTGAAAATTAAGTGTTAAAGTAACAAAATGAGTAATTTTGTTGTGTAAATTTGAGTAAGCATGCAAATCTTGGTCAAATATTGGGCACATTTAGTTAGAGCTGCACGATATATCGAAATATCGCAATATGCATATCGCAACGGCGTGCGATATCATTATCATTTTAATAATAGGCTACTTAAATCAAAAGGTCAAAGATTTAGTTCGACGCATATAGCAGAGAATTGCTTGACGTTAAAAAGAGTTAAGTGCAATAAGAGGTCTGTCTGACTCACACCTGAAGCGCGCGCACAAGCTGCATCTCACACAGCATCTCTTCAGTTCTGCTGCACACGTACAAAGCGCACGCACACACACACAGAGACACGTTTCAGACCAAGTTGATTCGTCTTTCGCATCTCCTCCGTATGTTTGAACAGACACATACACACAGAATTATGTCAATGGTACCCGTCTCGACGATCATTCTCGTAAACGCAGTCGGTTGTTTTAAATGAATGTAAACAGCTGAGAAATAAATCAGATGTGTATCATTATACTGTGCAGTCGGTTTTTAAGGGACAGCAGCCTATAAATACATGCTGCTGAATATGTCACTAATGTTAATCAAACAACAAAACAGCTATAACAAAGATTAATCTAAATTTAATTCATACAGTGAACACTATGCAGTGTTATTTTACACTTAATTATTAAATTTCTGTACCTGAATACTACTGTTTATTTTATCTATGCTTGTAAATTGTGTATTTCTTTTTTTCTTTTCTTTTTTACTGACTGTTCACTTGCCTTTAATCATGTTTGAACTTTCTCAGACTATAGTTTTTGCTGTGGTATATGAAGTAGTACTTAAAGTATGTGGAAAGCAAAGTTACAATGATATAAAATTAGTGTCATGACTTTTTTTTGTTTGTATGTTCACACTGATGTTAAATTAAATTTTCTGATTTGTGACATTACTTTTTATGTAATGCTAAAACACTGCTGGTCACTTTCAGAAGTTATAGTGATTCTTTCTTTTCCAAGAAAGAATGTGAAACATATTGGTTATAATTTTCATTTTTAAATATTTTAAAATATAATTGAAATTAATTTTACACACTTTAAGCAATATCGTATCGAATATTGCATTTTTTAACAAGATATCACATTTTTCTTTAATATCGCACAGCCCTACATTTAGTCATAGATATGGAACACTAAATATCTTGGGTAGTACTTTGGTAAACTGCGCATATGACAATATGAGGAATTAATATATTTCACATTTCATAATATCCTGACTACTGTTTTTGAAGTTTAATTGAATTTGGAACTTGGGCACTGCATGGCACAAAGTTTTATGTTTAAATGTTTGTTCTCATTTGACGATATGAGATTGTCAGCACATTCCTAATCTAAATATTTAAACATGCCATCAATTTACGGCTACCATGCTTTTTTGCTACTTTTTTTTAAAATTAAAGTTAGAAGTGCGTCTTGTGACCTATTATTGATTAATTTCCCGATACTGATCATGGGATTACAGTTCATAATTTTAACCAGTAACGTGGCAAATTTTAAATGCACATAAATCCTAACCAATCTCATGCTCACACATTGACCCAGAAGGATAGTGTTTTTAACCAGGTTTTTATTGCTCTATGATCATCATTTCACAATATGTACTTTGTGTTTCAAGTTGTTTTTAATTGGGATCATGTACTGTAGAAGCAATACACCACTTTTTTACAATATTTTAAACAAAATGCTATTTGTTTATTACTTGTGCCTTTGAGGGCTTTTCACTTATGTTTTGTAGAAACTTTATTGCTGTCTGAATAGGCAATGTTACATTTTAGTAATTTTTCTTTAGGTCTAATTTACCATAATGTATTGCATATAAAGTCTGAATCACAATACTGAAGTGGGTAGCAAGTGCCAGTTCCCGTGGACTGTAAATGTGCCAGAGATTGTGTTAATCTTCGAACAATGTTCGTTTAGTACAGATGTTTTTGAATACTGTAGTTCATTGCCAATACCTGTCTAGTTCACGCATGTGGTGTTTTTACAAAGCCTTACAATTCCTAACCCGATAATCAAGGTGTGTTTGATTTGATTTAGTAGCCAGTTGTCCTTTGTGTCCTTTAACACATTTGTCCAATTGACAGCAACCCTCATAACCAGCATGGATGTGATGGTTTACACCATGCCACTTTTTAATTGCCAAGAAAATTCACTCTAGCCCTTTTATCTCCATTAGCCACACCTGCTGCTGCGGCTCCTCCTCCCTCTCAGGCAAAGCCTAAAGAAGGCAAAACTAACCCCAAGCTGTCCTCTTCTCCTCACACCACCGCTCCTAAGCCAGTTCCTGCTGAACGCAGGAAACACTCCTCTCTGTCTGCCTCCTCAAGCTCCCCAACCTCTCCCAAATCTGCCTCTGGCCCTCGTGCTACCCCCCCATGCTCCCCTTTGGCCTCTTCTCCAGCTGTCTCTTCTGTAGCTGGGAAAGCTGAGCAGACTGCTCCCAAGGTGATAAAGGCTGGCAAACAAGGGAAGAAACAGAAAGCAAAGAATTTTAAACCTGCTGAACCTGAGCAAGCACCTCCCTCTGCCTCTAAGCCTGCTCAGGAGCCTGCACCAGTTGCAGCTCTGCCGTCTCTTGCTATACCATTACAAGAGGAAGCTAAACCAGCAGGAGTTGGAAATGCTTCCCCTGTCTCTCCCAACGTTGCTGTGGCTCCTGTTGCCTTTAAAGTAACTTCTAAATCTGCTGCCCCAGCACCAAAGTCATTTTCAGAAGCTGTGGCCACCAGTCCGTTCAAAGTGTCTGAAGCCCCCAAGGTTACCTCTGAAGCTCCAAAAGTAGCAACCCCTGTTGTTTCAGAAGCCAAGACTCTCTCGCCTTCAAAAGCAGCTGCCAAGCCTGGCTCTGCCCAAGTGCCAAATGTGAACCCAGCCACTGCTGCTCCCCCAAAATCTGCTCCTGCAGCGTTTGAGAATGATGATCTCCCACCTCTCTTACCACCTGAGAATCCTTTTACAATGCCTACTTTCCCCCCCATGCCACCTAGTGCAATGCCTGTAGTTACCCTAACAGCTCCCAAAGCAGAAGCTGTCTCTACCAGTAAAGTTGAATCTGGCCCTGCCCCTAAAGCTAAGGCTGCTCCTAAAACTAAGCCAGCTCCTAAGGTTGAACAGAAAGCAGCACCTGCCCCAAAAATTGAGGCTGCATCTAAAGTTGACCCTATTCTCACCCCTAAAGATGAGCCTAATCCTACCCCTAAAGTTGCAGTTGCTTCTGCCCCTAAGACTGAGGCTGTTCCTAAACCTAAAGCTCAGGCTGCCCCTATTGTTGAGGCTGCTCCTGCACCTAAAGATAAGTCTTCCCCTAGCCCTAAAGCTGAGCCTATTTCTGCCCCTATGGTTGAGGCTGCCCCTAAAGCTGAGTCTGTTCCTGCCCCTAAGGTTGAGGCGGCTCCTACCGCTGTATTTAAGCCTGCTGCTGCTACTAAAGCTGAGGCTGCCCCTAAAGCTGAGTCTGTTCCTGCCCCTAAGGTTGAGGCGGCTCCTACCGCTGTATTTAAGCCTGCTGCTGCTCCTAAAGCTGAGGCTGCCCCTAAGGAAGAGGCTACTCCTGCACCTAAAGTTAAGTCTGCCCCCAGCCCTAAAACCAAGCCTGTTCCTGTCACTAAGGTTGAGGCTGCCCCTAAAGCTGAGTCTGTTCCTGCCCCTAAGGTTGAGGCGGCTCCTACCGCTGTATTTAAGCCTGCTGCTGCTCCTAAAGCTGAGGCTGCCCCTAAGGAAGAGGCTACTCCTGCACCTAAAGTTAAGTCTGCCCCCAGCCCTAAAACCAAGCCTGTTCCTGTCACTAAGGTTGAGGCTGCCCCTAAAGCTGACTCTGTCCCTACCTCTAAGGTTGAGGCGGCTCCTACCGCTGTATTTAAACCTGCTGCTGCTCCTAAAGCTGAGGCTGCCCCTGCTGCTAAAGTTAAGCCTATTGCTGCTCCTAAAGCTGAGGCTGCCCCTGCCGCTAAAGTTAAGCCTGTTGATGCTCCTAAAGCTGAGGTGGCGGTGGCTGCTAAAGTTAAGGCTGCTCCTGCCCCTAAAGTCGAGCCTGAGCCTGCCCCTAAATTTAACCCTGCTCCTGCTCCTAAAGCTGAGTTTGCCTGTGCTCCTAAAGCTGAGTTTGCCTGTGCTCCTAAAGCTGAGTTTGCCCCTGATCGTAAAGTTAAGCCTACCACTGCTCCCAAAGTTGAGGCTGCTGCTCCCAAAGTTGAGTTTGCCTGTGCTCCTAAAGCTGAGTTTGCCTGTGCTCCTAAAGCTGAGTTTGCCGCTGCTGCTCCCAAAGTTGAGGCTGCTGCTCCCAAAGTTGAGGCTGCTGCTCCCAAAGATGAGGCTGCGGCTCATAAAGTTAAGTCGGCTCCTGCCCCTAAAGTTAAGCCTACCCCTGCTCCCAAAGTTGAGGCTGCTGCCCCTAAAGTCGAGGCTGCCCCTAGCCGTAAAGCTGAACCTGTCCTTGTCCCTAAAGTTGAGCCAGTCCCTGTTCCCAAGCCAGTTAAAGCCCCATCAATACTGGAACCAGTCATCAAGAACAACAAGGGTATCTCTTTCTGTCCGTTTTTGCCTTCTATGCTTATGCTGGTATAAGCATGTATACCCCGAAAAAATTTATTTTAGCGTCACTTCATCAGTAAAAGTAAGCCTGGTAGCTTTATGGTCTGAAAATCGCCTTTCTTTAGTCTTTGAGTGAAATTAAAGCTTCAGTTGGATGCTTTACGGGAAGTTGTTCGAAGAACATTGGGCCAATAGCTGAATGTTTTTTGAGTTTATCAATGTGAATTTGTTCAGACTTGTAAGTATAATGGCAATTTACTTTTGCTTCCATTTTGAGGCTTATGTAAAGTTATATAAAAGTATTTGTGCCATTTAAACAGTTAAACTGATTCACCCATTTCTCCATTGCGTTTGAAGATTTTGATTATTCTAACAGGATTTTTGGTGAAAATCTATGTGTCAAATGGCAAGTTAATTTAATGTGTCTGGGTGTTTTAGGGTCTGGCACTGAATCTGACAGTGACGAATCGGTTCCTGAACTGGAGGAGCAGGACTCTGCACAGACACAAACACAGCAGGCACAGGTAAGATTCTTTTTTATCTTCGCATACAAAAAGCATTATTTTTCCCTCCCCTTCATTTTCTCTCACCATTTCTTTTTCAGTTTTACATTGGCATGAACTGAAATTGCATTCCCTTTCCACAGCTTGCAGCTGCAGCTGAAATCGATGAGGAACCTGTCAGCAAAGCAAAACAAAGCAGGAGTGAGAAGAAAGCCAGGAAGGTAGGTCATCCTCAGGAACTGAATTAATCTAACTTTAACACCAAATTCAATTAGAATTAATGCAGTATTGTTAAACTGTACCCTTTCTTCCCTTTGCCAGGCCATGTCCAAATTGGGGTTGAGACAAGTTGCTGGTGTTACTAGAGTAACCATTCGCAAGTCTAAGAACATTCTCTTTGTCATTACCAAACCAGATGTCTACAAAAGTCCAGCTTCAGATACTTACATTGTCTTCGGTGAGGCCAAGGTAAAGATCAGAAAAAACTGCTTTCTTATTTCTTGTCTTATTTAAGGTTGGTGTGCACTCCTATCTCAGCCATGTTTTGGTTGACAACTAATTCTACATGGCAACATTGCCTGGTGATCTGGACCAAAGTGACCTCTTGATGATGATTTAAACAGTTTGACTTTCGTTCTTCTGAGTCTGATGAAGCCAAACTTTCTGTCCTGAGAGAGGAAACTTTCACAGTGGTGTAAATGAAGAACATATTGAAGCTCACAAAACAAACTAAAATCCTGATGGTTTCTGCTCCTCTTAGATTGAAGATCTGTCACAGCAAGCTCAGTTAGCAGCTGCAGAGAAGTTCAAGGTTCAAGGAGAAGCCGTTTCAAACATCCAGGAAAACACACAGACGCCCACAGTACAGGAGGAGAGCGAAGAGGAAGAGGTGACTGTTAACACTGTTGTGATTCTAGCACAGAATAATACTGAACATGCTTTCATGAAAGGTCTTCTGTTGGTGTGTTCAACAAATGTGAAAAGTAAATGTCCACAGTCGTGAGTGATTTGCTTTACCATTTGCAGGTTGATGAGATTGGAGTGGAGGTCAAGGACATCGAGCTGGTCATGTCACAGGCCAATGTATCCAGGGCAAAGGCTGTGCGCGCACTGAAGAATAACAATAACGACATTGTCAATGCTATTATGGTGAGTTAAACTTATTTTCTGTTGTTGTTTTTAATGGATAGTATTTCAAAACTCTTCTGTGATGAATTAACATTTGACTTTCGTTCTTCTGAATTTGTCCTGAAGCCAGTTCATTTGTTCTGAGAAGATCTCAGGCTTTAAATGTGGTGTCATGGTATCAAGCAATATTACTCAATTTATCTTTTTGCCTTTTTTCTTTACAGGAATTGACGATGTAGTTGGAAATCAGGGACTGGGTCACATTAAGATGTTGCTGATTTGATCTACACTATTGTTTGTACAATTTATACCCAAGAGAAATAAAGGCGTGGCTTGATGAAATGATACATTTTGTTGTATTTTGTGTATTTATTACTATTCATGGAAATGTACTTCATTGTATAGTAAATTTGTCCAGAGAAGCTCAAAACATGAGTTGCATTGAGCAAGGGAAAGTAAAGGTATAAACTTGCTCCTATCACTGTCAGAGGATGGATCTTTTTTTTATTATTTGTATAAAAACATTATTTAAAATAAAGATTGGGATGTCCAGTCGAGGTTGTGTTGGATTAAAAAAAATTATTCAGTGGAAGATAGGTTTTCTTGTAGTCACGATTTCTTTCAGATATGTAGAATGGACATTATGTGGGACTTTTATTTTGGAAAAGTAACCAGGAACAGTCGCAGTCGGTGATCTCACGTGTGCACTGGCATTTGTTTTGAATATTTTAATTACACAATTATTTTCACGCCACAGTATTGAAATGTCTTCAGCACACATGCTTGCATATTCTCGGTAAACAAACAAGTGTCACTTCGTCTCTTAATGCGTTAACGTTACATCAATGTGTTGTGTAAGTTCTTAGCGAGTTAGCTAACAGACATCGGAACCGATCGACTCAAGTACAGCACGGGATTTTAAATGCTCCTTTCGCTTAATCAAATCAGTTCATAAGACTAAAATGGCTTTAAGATTAGCTTTGGTTGGAGCTTTACGTTATATCGGCTCCAGGACGAGTGTAGTTGGTGCACGACGACTGTTCTGCTCTCAAAAGACAGGACAAGAATCTTCTGATACTATAAGGGTGAGAACTCACTTCTCTCTTAGATCATTAAACTAATTACAGTGGCGTTGTTCTTACGCCCAGGATAGTCTAATAAATATTTTGCACGCATATATAGACTTGGCGTGTACTCTTTCGAGCTTGTACATATTATAGAATAAATATCATTTAACCCTAGTGAGCTTTCCACCCAGGCCTAAGTGTCATGTTGATTTTGTGTCATAGGTGCTGTATGATGGAGAATGCCCAATATGTGTTAAAGAAATTAGCTTGCTTCAGTTTCTTGAGAGAAATAGAACGGGAAAAGTAGATTTTGTGGACATCTCACTGCCAGCGTATGATGGGAGCAAATATGGAGTCAGTTATGAGATGGCAATGGAGGAAATGACGGTAATTGATGAGAAGAACACGGTGAGTGGTCTTTTTTTCCTTCTTTTTTTTTTTTATAATGTGGCAAGTCCCAAAAGCATTTAAAAAGTCCACCCAATAATGAAATCATCATATACTCACCCTCATTTCATTTCGTTTGAGGCCTATATGACTGCCTTTCTTCTGTTGAACATAAAGGAAGATATTTTGAAGAATGCTGGGAAAGAAAATGGTTACCAAGATTCTTAAAAATATCTATAAAATAATATAAATGTTATGCATGTTTTCCCCTTTGATTCCTTTGACTTTTTTCATGAGTTCTCACTGGTTTTCCTCAGTCTAAAATATTCTGAAACATTTCGATGGTTTTTAAATTCAAGAAACATCTGATTAAATATATAACTCGTTATTCCTCAATGTGACTGTTTGTTCTTCTGAGGGCAGATTCATCGTGGAGTTCCAGCTTTCACAGTGATGTACAGTGCAGTGGGTTTGGGTTGGCTTGGCACGTTCATCTCTCTCCCACTGGTCAGGCCTATAATGGACCGAGCCTATGGGGTGTTTGCAAGAAACAGACTGAAGTGGACCGGCAGAGAGGGCTGCACCACTGGACGCTGTGCTAAAAAAGAGACATAAGGAACAAAGCGCTTTAAAACTAATTTTCCAGGTCAATGGATGTAGTGAAGTGAAGTGACATGTGGCCAAGTATGTTGACCCATACTCTGAATTAATGCTCTGCATTTATCCCATCCATAGTGCACACACACCGTGAACACACACCCGGAGCAGTGGGCAGCCATTTTTTTGCTGCGGCGCCCGGGGAGCAGTTGGGGTTTCGGTGCCTTGCTCAAGGGCACCTCAGTCGTGGTATTGAAGGTGGGAGAGAGCGCTGTACATTCACTCACCCCCACCTACAATCCCTGCCGGTACGAGACTCGAACCCGCAACATTTGGGTTACGAGTCCGACTCTCTAACCATCATTAGGCCACGACTTCCCCATGTATCGTTAGTTACAGCTGTTATTGTTAAAGTTTTTTGCATTTAATATTTAAAATTGTCTGAATATAACTGTAATATCAGCGTGCTCAGAATAATCTTTTATTAAGATCTACAAGTTTACTTTATAAACACTGTGATATCTGTATATACAATAAATTACTCATGCTGGGAGAAAAGAGTGTTGACAATTTGAACAACTCCAAGGGAACTTTTTCTAAATTTAGAAGCCTCCTGACTGACCATCAAGTGTTAGGATGCAGTAGGACAGATTGTGCTTTAATGAGGGATGGTCAGGGGTTTGTCAGCAGTCCTTTACACCAGCCAAGAGGATTTGAATTTAAGAGTAGGGCGGGATTAAAAACCACAACAGAAACAAGTGTAAACACCACACGATGTAATTCAAGAGAAAACGAGCACTATATGTGTCTTTGGAAGGAAAGTGAACATTTATTTATCAAGTTCCGAAAAAAGAGCACAACAGATAAGACAAAATAACTTGCGTTTATTTGCTAAGGCTTTAAGATTTACAAGTGACCCTCAAGTTTAAGCGTGCTTTGTTGAATTCAACTTAACTTGACCTTTTGTCTTAGTGAAGAATAACATGTTTTTTTCTTAATGATACAAGTTGTAATCATTACTTAACATTTAAAACGTCAAGCTATAATATTATGTATTATAAAAAATATATTCTTCATTTCATTATTAGTTCAGTTATAAATTATGGTGAATATGGGTCTGAGAATAGATACTAAAGTTTGTGTAGCATTTAAATTCTCCGTTGTTTATGGTATGCATTAAGGTCAGCCTTTTCACAATACATTAACAAACTTAATATTTTATACGTTGGAAATTACAAAAGAGAAAGTAGTCATTTGGTCTGCTGATGACTTTTTTCCTATGTCTGGCATTTTAAATAGAGGACTTGTTGATTCACTGTGCCTAAGCACATGGATATGGTCACGTTGAACTGTCTGTACACAACGTGATGCAAAGGCCACTACCAGTCCTCAGATCACAGCAAAAACAAAAGTGGCAAATAGCTGCACTTCTCCGCTGTCTGCCATGTGACCAACAGGCAACTATAAATATGTACTGGAGGTTCATGGAAGTGCTAAACGGTATTTTTCTGACCTACTGTTGACACCTTGGTGTCTTATTTCAGAGTTCTGAGCATTGTCACTCTGTTCTTATTCACAGAAAGGCTTATAAAATCCACTCTGCAAAATCACTAAAGAGATTGGTGAGTTAAAGGCTTAATTATAATTAGCTAATTAAAAATAACGTCTACAAGGAGAATCCCTCTCAAGTCTCATAGATCAAAGAAGACTCAGGCGTTTTGGGGCAATTAGCCTTAACATCTAAAGACACATCTTTTTCGCCTGACCAACTAATACTAGCACTTACCTATTCTATTCCATTCTATTATATATAAAAATTAAAAAAACCTAGCTACGTGTAACTGAGACTTGTCATGGTAGGGTGAATTCAGGTAATCTGGGACATTTTTTGCAATTTTGACTTCTGCGATTTATTTCGATATCTATCTAACACATTAGATCAACACATTAGACTTTTCTGAAATCCCTAAGATGTTTTCTAACCACACCAGAAGATAGAATGTTGATATTATACCCAGAGGAGACATGCCACAACTATTAGTGTTTTTTGTGCAAAAAAATTCTGCCTGAATTTGATAATCTGGGACATATGTATTAGGCCTAAAAAAAAAAAAGCCTATATTCACCATATTTTATGCATGCCAAACACAATATCACCAATTTTTTAAATCATTATGAAAAAAATGACAAGTACAGAAATCTCAAAAAGGAAATGTATATTTCAATATCAGGAAAAATAATTTCTTTCTGTACACAGGATGAACAATCTACTGTGTTAATTCATTTTAATTCATTTAAAACTATTATTAAAATTGTTTAACACTGTATTAACATTTTAAAGAATCAACTAAAATTTAAGTAACAGCAAGCAACAATTTGATTAATGGATTATTCAGTCAGTTATTCAAGTTCTCCATTCTATTAAAATTGGGGCTACTCGGGGAACAAACACTCCGTGTGAGAGTGTGTGTGTGTGTGTGTGTGTGTGTGTGTGTGTGTGTACAGAACACTGTCAGCAGTCCTGGGCACAGCTCCCCCTCCTCCCACAACCGTTGTATACTAAACTAACTGGGAATTTGGGAAATGAAATTAACAGTTTAATTCATCCTGATACCTTTGCTTGCTACTGGAATACGTTTCCCAGATTCCATCTCTGTAGCATCTCTCTAGCTAGCTGGTTTAGATAGCTGCTAGCTACTGTGAACTTATGCTAATATTATAACCTCCAGTACTCCACATTAACACCCATTTCTCATTATAGCATTTATTATCCCTTGTCATTAGACTTATAAAGTCCCTAAATACATATTTCCTCCATTTGAAGACTGTCCCAGATTACCCAAAGCATGCAGTCCCACATTCTCAATCATATTCGATAATGTGGGACAACAAAAAAATGTTCGAAAGAAAAAAAAACTAAAATACATTTTCAACACTTTAATACATATTTTGTTGCTTGAATAGATCACAAACATAATTTGACAACAATTAGGAACATTGTATTATTTATGACAGATTTATGTCCTTAACATTAATCTAGTCAGAATCCTGTCACTGACCTGGTCATGCAATTCCCAGCAGAGCTTCTTGATTGACAAGTGCCCCGCCCCTTTCTGTGGAATCACCCAGTGAATTTATGACAGATTTATGTCCTTAACATTAATCTAGTCAGAATCCTGTCACTGACCTGGTCATGCAATTCCCAGCAGAGCTTCTTGATTGACAAGTGCCCCGCCCCTTTCTGTGGAATCACCCAGTGAAGAAGTCATGTGATTTCAGTCACATGACATCTATGCTAAAATTATAGTAAAAGTCCTGTTGACTAAATTTTATTAGAAATAAACACACTGGTGCTTAGGTGTCCCAGATTACCCGAATTCACCCTACTTGTATACTGTTGTTCTCTCGTTGATCTGATTGCTTCTATTGTTCTCATTTGTAAGTCGCTTTGGATAAAAGCCTCTGCTAAATGATTAAATGTTAATGTACATGAATACTCATCAAAATGGACAATTCAACATCATTTTGTGTGTAATTCTCCGTTCATGCAATGTGAAAGAGTAGCTACTCACACACTGAGATGCGCTTTCTGTGTGTGTATGCTTCAGTGTGCGCTCAGAAAACCGGACCGAGTTGAGTTCTCTCTTGCGGCGTCAGATTTATTCATGTCTGCTCTTCTCTTACTCCCACATATTGACATTTTTTGAACGTTTTATGCGACGTGCAGCAAGTGTATTTTAGCTTATGTCCCGCCGGTGGGTTCATATGTACGCATAACCTCAGAGCCACGCAGCAGATTCGTTCTGAATGAATCTCATCCCAAATCGTCCCTCCCTAACATTTTCATCTCGTTTTTATTCGTTGACGAAAATGTCAATAGATTTACGTCATAGTTTTTGTCATTTTAAAAAGAGTTTTAGTTCGTTATCGTCTGTGAAAAAATGATGAGGAAAATTATTCGTCAACGAATTGAACACTGGTGCTGATGAGAATTATCTGGGTGAGAACTATAATACAAGAACATCATTAAATTATGAAGAGATGTCCTTACTGGTCACACAAGATTGTGAAGGGCTGTGTTTTTTGACAAGTTACAAATCATTGTTAGAGAAGTTACAAATCAAATACACAGCCATTTTAGACAATGTATTGAGCACTTCTGCCCATGTAAATTCTGTATGAATGTCAATATTTATCTATTTTTTAGGTTTATGAAATGAAATCAAACTAAGAGCACCACTAGGCTACTGTATAATCACTAGTTTATGTTTTTTTTTTTTTTTTTTTTATAAGATGAAAGCATATAACAGATGTAGGCCTAAAGTATAATAAAAAATTCAGGCGATTTTAATACTTTACCAATGAAGTTCAGACTATAAAAAATAATGGGAGAACAGTGGAAATGCAGTGGTTTTAACATTTTAAATGTCATGAGATTGATTTTAAAACAAAACAAAAACCTTTGGTTTTGAAATACCTTTAAATATTCTTTACTAGTCCCATTATAAAGATGATAGAGACATAGGCTACATAGAGACAGATTATTGCAGTGTGACCATTTCCTTAAAATATACAATACTGGAGTCACTAATCATGATTTTAGTGATGTTTTCAATGCTTGAACTGAAAAAGCTACATTGTCATCGCTCATGTGACTAGCAGTGACTGGGACGCCAGTCAAGAGCGCTATTTGTTGTTTTGGACAGTTGTGCAAATTTGTCCCTCTGAGAAGTTTAGTTATTTTACTTCAAACTCTGCTTTGAAAAAACTGGTGAACTTTTTTATCATAAGATTTTTGACAGACTGTCATGGCTTGGAGACCAAACATGGACAAACAGTGCAATAATTATGCTTTTATAAATTGAAAACAGACTGCGCAGGATCCTCCATCTGCACTAAACACTGAAGCCATTGAAATGTCAACTCAGGTAAGAGACAAATATATATATATATATCACTGAAGGAATTGATGCTAAAAACCCCCAGAAAATATACACTTACATAATATGATTTTAGCTGACTTTATTTTGTAATGTTTTCATTTTTATATTACTTTTTTATTTTTTATAATAAAATGTTTTGTATCAATTTATCATGGTATTGCTATTTGGAAGTGGTTTCCACTATGACTGGCTGTAAAAACACAGTGATGTCACTCAGTAAAACAATGTATGTTTCATTATAATGTCATCCTCCACTCTGACTTGAGCTGAGAGCTGTGAGTCAGCTGCTTCATCTGAATTATGCTTGTCATTGCAGACAGTGTCGACAACACAGACAGATATAAACCAAGGTATGAGCCTGTTGAAGGGACTGTTAGTAGTTATGAACATAAAGAATTGTGCATAGGAAAAAATGGCTAACTTTAAAATTAGTTTACGTTCATTTGTTTTCGCTTTGAGACCACTCACTAATTGTGAAATATCAATATCTTTCAACTTAGGCTATTTATGGCTTTGCTAATGTAAATACGACAAGATAACAATTGATGCAAAATCAGGTCATAAAATAAAGACTTTTGAATGGTACTAAAACCACTCATTATTAGTCAAAACTGACATTATTTAATATTTGAAAACAAAATCTGTTATTTTGCAGTTTAGTTTATCATCTTCCCTATGGTTATACAGTTATGCAATTATGGTTACATTCAGATTCAATATCTCATGACAAGTTAACCAGCATCTGTTCTTCCAAACAAGATGTAGTGCCACTTTAAGGCTGAACTGAAAAAAACCTTCAGAGATATTCTGTCTGAACAGAGCCTGCTTACTGTATCCATGTGGACAGAGGTTTCATTGTCCCGTCTCTGGAGGAAGCAGTTCATTCAGGCTGGTGTCTTGCGCTGTACAGTTTGGTGCATGGCACTGCAGCGCTGCTGATGTCATACACACCGCTGAAGATACTGAAGTGCTGAGGAACATGACCAGAATTAGGTTATACTTATGTCTCTGTTTACTTAGTGAGCTGACTCAAGAACTGTTTTGTTCTTTCATCGTATTACCTCATCTGTGGAGTGTACAGTAAGACCGTACTGGCATATTGTATACTTTATGCGTCCCCGGATGCCTGAGCTGATGTGGGTTTGGAATGTTTTTCTGTGGTTGAGATCCTGTTTCCACCCACATCTTCTCTCTTGAGTCAAGCTCTGCCCTCTGGCACGCTGTCATGACATGGATTTCATTCACCTGGTTCTGTTTTTGACCATGATAACTTACATTTACTACGTTTAAAGCTTTATTTAGTTAAAGTAAATATTTAAAGTATTCAAAAGAGTATCAGTTTATTAGAAGCTGATTTAAATCTCTTTTAGATGCAGTCATGAGTCGCATGACCGCATTTGAATTTCACTGAGAAACAAACATTTCATTCATTATGAGTTAGCTTAGTTTTTCAGGACCAAACAATGCGACCCACACATTGATGTCATAATCAAAAAGAATGCAAAATATCTTTGAGTTTGGCTATTTATGGCTTAAGGGCTTTTGCTCATGTAAATTTGACAAGATAATTAATAAAAGGTCAGATAATAAAATAAAGACTTGTATTCTTGAATTATTATTTTAACAATAAAACCTTTGCCACTATAACTAACATGAATTTAGCTTTTTTTTTAACATCTTCCATAAGTATACAGAGAGAGAGAGAGAGAGAGAGAGAGAGAGAGAGAGACGTCATTCATGGTTCATGGGTAGAGTGGGCAAATGGATGAAGACAATGTAGAGGGATGTTAGTTGGAGAGGTATACATTACAGAGGACATCTGCTTGGATTGACATTGTTTTGGACCTATTTGAATGCAACAGAAACATTTGGGATTGGAATGCCATTTTTGAAATATGGGGCAATGATGACAGATTAATATTACCATAATGAGGAAACAAACTACGGGCCTGATATAAAAGGTAACAATCTCTTGACTAATGTGATATTTGTATAATATATCATATAACTTTGATATATATTTGTTTTTATTTTAGCTCTGTGAAATGACCTGCTGACACAGATAAAGAAGATTCTGTGAATCCTGGATACTCCAGTTTAGTTGGTAGGCTAGTTTGTGTAATTACACACACAGGCTATTGTTTTCCCACTTTAGGTAACTTATAAAGTAGAATGCAGTAAGTAAACTAGGCTATTTTACAAACACATATGCATTATGTATTTGCATATGTACAGCGTAATGAATTAATCATCCAAAGGAGTTGAATATATTCCTGTTTTTGGTCTTTTATCTCGGCCATTTATATTTTAACAGTTGTTTCTTTAAAAAAAAATATATAATCATATATTAAATATACACATATAATGAAAATACGTATACTTATTTAAAATACAAAAATAAACTTGTTTGTGGTTATTCTGGATGTAACCAGCATTGACGCAAGTAGGATTACGCACAGGCTCCGGAGGTGCATAAATGCAAATAGCTCTGATGTGGGGAGCGAATCATAGTTGTGGAAAGCGGAAGAGGGCGGGGACTTAAAATAATACCAGTGGTTCATTTGCATATGGATTAGTTTGGTTTGTCTGCTTCATTACAAACGCTTAAACAACGAGCGCTTTCAGGGTATACCATTAACTTCTACACAACTCATAAAAACAAAACAAAAGCTTTAATAATTATTAAAACAGATTAGTTATGAATGAACAAACAAGGAGGTTCAAGATAAGCATATGTAGGGAAATAACTTACTTGAGTATTTAGTAGTTATTTTAATAGGCTACTGGTGCTAGTATTTTCTCTGTTGTCAGATCACTGTTAGGCAGATGCTGTTCAAAGCAGAGATGAGTGCTCGGAAGTGTTGGAGGATTCCTGCCATACTTACTATCCTACAGCAAACATGGATTTTAGCCATGGAAATTCCTCCTGATGGTGAGGAACTGCTATTTGGAACTTGTCCACAGCTGGCCTTGTGACCAGAGTTCATTGTTTATTCTCATACGTTGTCCTTTTAATTCATTTACCATTATATTTTCTGTGTACTGTAAATCCCCACAGTCAGGCAGCCTCCGATGATCATTAAAGAGAGTCCTCAAGACCACATAGTAGATCCAGTTGACCCTATTATAGTAGAGTGTGAAGCAACAGGGAATCCACCTCCAGTGTAAGCATCCAACAAGGCACTTACTGTCACACAACGCAATATATAATTATACATGTCAATTCTTCCACCGGACTGACCTAATGACTTAATAATACCTTTTTTTAATTGACTTACCTTATCAATTTGGATTATCTAGATATTTCCTATGATTTGCTTTTGTTTGGTTGTTTAAAAAGTGAAAAAATATTGACTGATTGCAAATGTAAAATGTCTGCATTTTTAAATGACTATTTACAGTTGTGTTAGAAAAAGTGTAATTGACAGATGACACTTATTGCACATAGCTTCACATGGACACGTAATGGAGTGTACCTGAATGTGGCTCGAGATCCTCAGGTCAGCATGAGGTGGCGTTCTGGCACATTAGAGATTTTCTTCTGGGGTCGTCCTGATGACTATGAGGGTGTCTATCAGTGCACGGCGACTAATGAGTTTGGCTCTGCTCTGTCCAGTTACATCAGTCTGCGTGTCTCCAGTAAGCCCGTACACAGCATGCAATTGCTAATACACAGCAATAGCATTGTGTCAATGGGCTTTTAAACATATAATTTCTGTGATCAGAGGCCCGTACGTGGTTGAAGGAGTATCTTGAGCCAGTCTCAGTGGTGGTTGGACTTCCTCTCATCCTTCCCTGCAATCCTCCTGTAGGTCCTCCAAAACCTGACACTTACTGGCTGAACAGCAGTAAGTCTCCGACTCAGATGTTTCTGATACGAAAGATAAAATTATCTAAAGTTGCTTTGGAAGCATCAGAGTCAGTGTTAAGTTGTAAAGTTTGGGGTCAGTAGGATTTTTAAAAAATTTTTACAAGTTAAAGTTATGATGTTACAAAAGATTTCTATCTCAAATAAATGCTGTTCTTCTGAACTTTCTTTTCATCAAAGAATTATAAAAAATGTACCGTTGTTTCCACTAAATTATTAAGCAGCACAGCAGTTTTCAGTGACTATACTGAAGGATTCATGTGACACTAAAGACTAAAGTAATGGCTGCTGAAAATGTAGCGTTGCCATCACAGGAATAAATTACATGTTTTCTGTATGAATATATTTTAAAATGTATTTTTAATTGTAATAATATTCACCTTTTATTGTATATTTGATCAAATAAATGCATAAGATAATTATTTAAAAAAAACATTAAAATATCTTACAGAGCCCACTCTTTTGAACGGTAGTGTATCTGTATAACGAGTATTCAGTTTAACAGTTACGATTGTTGAACCTTAAATAAGCCTTTAAATATACTGGCAATAGTTTTATCCAAGTTCATTTTTATTCCATAGCCATGGTATCAATCCGTCAGGATCGTCGCGTATCAAAGGCAGAGAATGGAGATCTGTACTTCTCCAGTATCGTAGCAGAAGACGCTTTTACAAACTATGTCTGTGTCGCGCGCTTCCCCTTCACGAACACCATCCAGCAGAAACCGCCCCTCATCCTGCAGGTGCTCACAGGTCTGTGTTTGAGGAATTATTTTTTATTCTGCTATAGGATTCATCTTTAAGCAAATCTGTCTTAACAATTCCTCCCGTGCTTGTGTCTGTGTGTGTTCAGTTGAGGAAGAGCCATGATTAAACCATCTAACAATCTAACGCCATGGTGAGTTAGGACTCTTTCTTATGCTTTTTTATTGTAAACACTCGACAGACCTTAACTGATCCACTAACTATTCACCTCTGCTTTGGCCAGGTTTGTAAAGTGTGACGTTGTCTATCAAATTTGTGATATTTTATGTCTATGCAGCTCGCATGGCAGCCCATACGGCACCCAAGTTTCTGAAACCCAAAGGAACCACCAGCACAACCATTGCGATGCTGGGCGAAGAGCTCATTTTGGAGTGTTTTGCTGCTGGAGTGTGAGTTTTAAAATCATTTTGATGACATATCTGTTTTCTGAGAGCAGTTGAACGCAGTTGATTATTTGATTGCCTTGTTGTGAAACCTGCTTTTAACTTTTAACCATTAGTAACTCTGATTCTCTCTTTTTTCTTGAAGTCCGACTCCCTCCATCAAATGGACTAAAGATTGGGAGGAGATGTCCATGACGGGAAAGAAGTTGGAGAACTTTAATAAGACTCTTAGAATAAAGAACATCTCTTTGGATGATGGAGGAGACTACATCTGCAGCGCTTCAAATAGGATGGGCAGCCTGGACCACGTCATCACTGTCAGGGTCAAATGTAGAATACTTCATTACTTTATTACTACTGTTCATGGCTGTCACTATGTGGATTGACCCCAAAAAAATTCAATTCTGTCATTATTTGTTCATTCTTATGATGTTCTGAACCCGGTATACTGCCATTTTTTTCTATGGAACACAAATAGAGAATTTGAAGACAGTTCATGCTGCTCTGTGCCATACAATGACATGTAATGTTTCATAGTGGCCAGACCACATCTGTCATTGAACAAAAACACATGATAAATGCACCATAATAATTGTCCAAACAACTATTTACATGTACATTGTGTGAGGAAAAGACCAAAATGTATGTCTTTATTTACTAATAATTATGACACCATTTCACCTCATCACATTAGCTTGGACATTTAAAACATCATCTGACATAAGTGATATTACACCTGGTTCCATATTCACAGTTCTGTTCAAAAGTTTGGGGTCGGTATAATTTTATGAATGTTTTTAAAGGAAGTCTCTAATGCTCAGTGAGGCTGGATTTATTTGATCAAAACCAGTAATATTGTGAAATATTATTACAATTTAAAAAAAACTTTCTATCTGAATATATCTTATGTTTTTAATGTATTCTTGTGATGGTAAAGCTGAATTTTCAGCATCATTACTCCAGTCTTTAGTGTCACATGATGCTTCAGAAATCATTCTAATATGCTGATTTGGTGCTCAAAAACATTTAGTATTAATAATGTTGCCAACAATTGTGCTGCTTAATAGTTTTATGGAAACTGTGATACATTGTATTTTTCAGGATTCTTTGATGAATAGAAAGTTCAAAAGAACAGAAACCTTTTTTGAACATTAATATAATTTGAGCATTTCAGAGTGGCAGATTTTCAATCACACAAATCTATACCAAAACATAAGCATTATGGAACTATCTGAAGATGAATAAATAATGATACATTTTATTTTAATTATTACTTACAGAATGACTGAAATGAAAATCAAGATCACTATCTAATCTCAATTCTCTTTCCACCTGTTGCCATCTACAGCGGTTCCGTTCTGGGCGGAGAAGCCCGAGAGTCTGGTTTTGTCACGTGATGACAGTGGTAGTATAGTGTGTAGAGCTGATGGAATTCCTCGACCCCAGATGCAGTGGCTGGTTAATGGAGAGCCAATCAGTGGTGAGAAAAACAACAGCTTCATTTACAACCAGGTGCACTGCCAAGCTTTGTAATGCTCACTCTTTCTGTGTTCACTTTAGATGCTCCTAAGAGTCCAGGCAGACAGGTTTCAGGAGACACTTTGATGTTCAGGGCTGTGGTCCCAGACAGCGCTGCTGTGTTCCAATGCAACGCTTCAAACCAGTATGGCTATATCATGGCAAACGCTTTCTTGGCTGTAATGGGTAAGAGCTAAGAGAGGCTGGAATGAAACATACTAGCATTTACATGCACCATCAGTTTTAACCATTACTTGCAACTTTACCCTTACGCAAAGAAAATATATTTCCTAATATATGAATGATCAATATATTAAATTACATAATGGTATATTAGAAATTAGAAATTATATTAAATATGTGACAATATATTTACTTATATATCACAATATATGCCATTTTATATTCAGTAATACACTTTATAATATATAGATGTACATGTGATAAGATATGGTACTGCATGTGTAAAAATATATTGAACATATTCATGCAGTATATACACACATATATGGAAATATATATTTCTTATATTTAACAATCATTTATGATATACTATATGTTTCATATTTTAAAATATAGCTAGCTTGCAATAGGAAGAAAACCTGCTCATAATAAAGCACTAAGTAGACAGACTATCACTGTGCTGAACAGTGCACTACCATTACTTTTTAAATAAAGTAACATCATTTAACAGTGTTTGGCAAATAGTTTTCCTGACCACAGACTTCTACTCTTCTGCACAACGGTAACCACACAAACTTACACATACCAGAAACCCTTTTACATTTCAAAATAATACAACATTAAACACTAACAGATATCCCCCTATATTAATATTGAGCAAAAACACATGAAATAACACTTAATTTTAACATTTTTACTCTCCTTTAACAGTCAGAAGTAAAGCATGCTGGGAACTAAAAATCTGCTGTAACTCATTCAGTGAATGTGTGTACATACACATTCACATTTATATGGGAACATATATGTCCAATACATACTCAATAAAGGATCAAACAATGAATATTTATTTTTGTCGCTGATGGAATTCCTCGACCCCAGATGCAGTGGCTGGTTAATGGAGAGCCAATCAGTGGTGAGAAAAACAACAGCTTCATTTACAACCAGGTGCACTGCCAAGCTTTGTAATGCTCACTCTTTCTGTGTTCACTTTAGATGCTCCTAAGAGTCCAGGCAGACAGGTTTCAGGAGACACTTTGATGTTCAGGGCTGTGGTCCCAGACAGCGCTGCTGTGTTCCAATGCAACGCTTCAAACCAGTATGGCTATATCATGGCAAACGCTTTCTTGGCTGTAATGGGTAAGAGCTAAGAGAGGCTGGAATGAAACATACTAGCATTTACATGCACCATCAGTTTTAACCATTACTTGCAACTTTACCCTTACGCAAAGAAAATATATTTCCTAATATATGAATGATCAATATATTAAATTACATAATGGTATATTAGAAATTAGAAATTATATTAAATATGTGACAATATATTTACTTATATATCACAATATATGCCATTTTATATTCAGTAATACACTTTATAATATATAGATGTACATGTGATAAGATATGGTACTGCATGTGTAAAAATATATTGAACATATTCATGCAGTATATACACACATATATGGAAATATATATTTCTTATATTTAACAATCATTTATGATATACTATATGTTTCATATTTTAAAATATAGCTAGCTTGCAATAGGAAGAAAACCTGCTCATAATAAAGCACTAAGTAGACAGACTATCACTGTGCTGAACAGTGCACTACCATTACTTTTTAAATAAAGTAACATCATTTAACAGTGTTTGGCAAATAGTTTTCCTGACCACAGACTTCTACTCTTCTGCACAACGGTAACCACACAAACTTACACATACCAGAAACCCTTTTACATTTCAAAATAATACAACATTAAACACTAACAGATATCCCCCTATATTAATATTGAGCAAAAACACATGAAATAACACTTAATTTTAACATTTTTACTCTCCTTTAACAGTCAGAAGTAAAGCATGCTGGGAACTAAAAATCTGCTGTAACTCATTCAGTGAATGTGTGTACATACACATTCACATTTATATGGGAACATATATGTCCAATACATACTCAATAAAGGATCAAACAATGAATATTTATTTTTGTCTTCATTTCTAAATATATTTGTATGTATCAATATATAGCTATATATGGTCAATGCATATTTTGCTGTCTATTGAAAAATATAAGCACTAGTTTCCAATATATGGAAATGTATTATGTAATATATTGCATTATATTTTGCAGTATATTGCCATATATTTTTGTTTTGTAAGGGTACTCTGTTGTCTGCAGATATGAAACCTCGACTGCTTGTTCCCAGAGATGAACTCATTAAAACAACAGAAGGCAATAATACTCATTTAGACTGCCCATATTTTGGCTCTCCTAAACCTGATCTGCGGTGGTAAATATATGTCTTACTATCATTTATATTCATCATCCAAGTCAGTATTGTAAGTTGTAAGAACAGTAACTTGTAAGGAGTTTTTACTTTTGAATTGTCACAAATACAAGCATAAAAACAGGAAATATGTCTGTTGTGATGGTGTGAATAAACAAAAAGTGGAGTAATTGCATAAAAGATTTCAAAATGTAAGCACACATAACAAAGTTTCCAATCAACGTGTGTATAGGTCAAAAGGAGGACTAGGTACCTTAGAGGGAAGTCGTCATATGATTCTTCCAAATGGTACATTGGAAATCAGAAACACAAAGCTACAAGATCAAGGAAGCTATGTGTGTGTTGCAAGCAATGTCATTGGACGAGATGAGAAGGAGGTCCAACTAGAGGTCAAAGGTCAGTATCTGGAAAAGTTACTGCTTTGAAATTTCTAATTAAAATACCTATATTTCATATGCACAATGTCCATTTAAAACGTTTAAAAATGATTATGGTTTATAAAACATCCAAAGAAGGAAAATTATATTGCTTTATAGATTCTTGATTCTCCATTTTACTTGTAGATGTTTTGTATATCATTATAATGCAGGTTGCCCTGCTTATTAAAAATGAACTTATTTTTATTTTATAGAGCCCATTAAAATTGTCCGTGCCCCACACAATACTGTAGTCATAAGAGGAAGTCTGGCTCACTTTGATTGTAAGATTAAATTTGACCCGACTCTGGATGTCACCGTCACTTGGCTTAAAGACAAGAAGTTCTTGATCTTAGGAAGGAGGTAAACATAAAAAAATCTGTCCGCAAGCATGATGGAAGTGTCATTAATTATTCTAATGGTTTACTGCATTAAAATATACTGTATTTGACTGCTTTGTGTATTATAGGATGACAAAGGACGAGGATTCTCTGAGCATTGCTGATGTGTACAGACGAGATGAAGGCGCCTACACCTGCAGGGTTAAAAGTGAACTGGAGGAGGTCACTGCCTCAGCCAAACTCACTGTGATGGGTACCAGCACATATACTGTCTCTACACATGTATACAGTATAAACATGAGAACATTATTCATGTATACTTTTGCTTTTAGATCGTCCAGACCCGCCCAGTGACCTAGAGATATCAGACCCATCAGAGAGGAGCGTTAGACTCACCTGGATACCAGGACTAAGCAACCACAGTCCTATTAAAGGTACACAAATACACACATCCACACAAACATAGATGCAAACTACATTTTTAAACAGTCTAGCCTGACAATGACATAATCTTGAATTAATTCTCTTTTAGAGTACATGGTTCAATTTACTGAAGATCTCCTTGCAGACTATTGGCTGCTGCCAAGCAGCTGGAAGAACCTGTCCAGCTACCCAGGGAGCCTAAACTCTGTCATTTTACAGCTGACACCATTTGTAGAGTACAGATTCCGGGTCATTGCTGTAAACGGTATAGGTCCCAGTAAACCCAGCTGGCCATCTGAATACTACCAGACTGGAGGAGCTGGTAGGTCCCTATTCTATTCTATTCTCGTTCAAAAGTGTGGGGTCGGTAAGATTTTTTTTTGGTCAATCACAACTACGGTAAAGTCCATTCACAACAAGGACGATACCTATAATGATAAAGATATAGTTTTAAAAAATTTTCTAAATTAAAAAAGAATAGCAAAGTCCACACCACAACTATAACGATAACAGCACAGGGGAACAGTATTGTTGGAATCACTTTCAGAACGATGAATGATAAACGTTGACAGCCAGTCAGAATCCACCTGACTTTAAAGAGCTTGAACATTTAAAGAGGCAGAAAACAGCATGTGCTTATTATAAATAAAGAATGTTATCATATGTTGGTATGGACGCTTATATAGCTATCAATATGGTTATCATTCTTGGTGTGAACAAGCCATTATTGTGAAATATTATTACGTTTTAGAATAGATGTTTTCTGTTTGTTATATATTTTAAAATGTAATTTATTCCCATGATGCAAAGCTGAATTTTCAGCAGTCATTATTCTAGTCTTCAGTGTCACATGATCCTTTGGAAATCATTCTATTCTGCTGATTTGGTGCTCAATAAACATTTATTATTATTATCAATGTTGAAAACAGTTGTTCTGCTTAATAAATTTGTGGAAACCACGATAAATGTTTTTCAGGATACTTTGATGAATTAAATGTTCAAAAGAACAGCATTTATTTGAAATACTTTTGAAAAATCTTTTGTAACATTATAAATGTCTTTTTTTACTGTAAATTTTTATCAATTTAAAACGTCCTTGTTGAATAACTGTATTAAGCTCTTTAAAAAAATATATATTATTATATTATATTATAATATAATATATTGTACTGTATGTTGAATTATGTTTTGTGTCTTTAGTGCCTGATGCCATCCCAAGAAACATCCAAGGAATGGGAAGTGGAGTGTTCAGAAATAACATGGAAATCAGCTGGGAGGTGATGTTCTGATGATTGATGGATAGCAGTCATTTTATTCAGAGTTGTTGAGTGTGATGTAATCACATGCATATGATTTATATTAACTGTGATGTTTTTGTTGTGTCTGAAGCCACTGGAGTACAGAGAATGGAATGGGCCGAAACTGGGCTACATGGTTTGGTGGAGACGAAGGGATTCAAGGGAGGAGTGGAAGAACTACACAACATACTGGTGGTGTAGCTACATCATCTATGACACTGACACTTTCACGCCCTATGAGATTAAAGTTCAGGCCGTCAACTTCTTCGGCTATGGCCCAGAATCCCCTATTGTGCTTGGCTACTCTGGGGAGGACCGTAAGTTCACATCTACTGAAGTTCTGTTCAGCATACATTAGAAAAGCAGATTCTGGTCAGTGCTTCACTCATATTGGGTTCTCTAACAGGTCCAGTTGCTGCTCCATCTGACCTGAGCGTGTCAGACATTGAGAGCACAAAGCTGACAGTCCATTGGGATCCAGTGGCACGAGCTGACATCATGGGTGATATAAAAGAGTACAAAGTATGGCTTCTTAGTTGCACAGGTAAGTTCATGCCCTTGCAGTAAATGATATGGGCTGCTGATGGAGCTGTGGTTGGTTTCTCAGGTTTATTACTGGAGAGAAAGCAGTCGTCTGCCCTGGCACATTGTTAGCAGGAGGATTAAGACCAAGAGTTTTAAAGCTAATGGACCTCGCCTGTCTGGGACCCTGACCGGTCTTGTACCATATAGTAACTACAGAATGTATATTGTAGTGGCCAATAACCGCTACGAGGAAAAGTTTTCTTAAGTTTATTTACTACAGACACACTTTATTTTCAGTGATGCACTTACATAAAAACAGCATGTGAGGATGAAAAATTCATCAATCCTATCATTTACATCATAATATAATCACATTAGCACAGGTTGATTTGCAGTATGTTCTGTATACCACAATAATTGTTCCTTTTTCATCACTCCATCCATCACACATTTCTCACGTTGTTTATTCCTCCTTTATTTTTGTTTATGTCTTTTGCGATTGGACCACTGAAGGTCTCTTGAGAGGTATGAATGTCATACATATGTTATGTCATACATAATAAGTGTTTACTTTTTTAAATTAAATTACCTTATTTGTTTTACTACAATCATTAATACACTACAAGTATTCCAGTCTAACGATTGAGCTATTTTTTTGTTCAAAGGTTTGGGAAATTAATAATTTTTTTCAGCAGGATGCATTAAATTGTTCAAAAAGTGACAGTAAGGATATTTATAATAATAATTTTAATCTTTCTATTCATCAAAGAATGTATCACAATTTTCACAAAAATATCAAGCAGCACAATTGTTTTCAACAGTGATAATAATAAGAAATGTTTCTTGAGCAGCAAATCAGCATATTAGAATGATGTCTGAGGAAGAATGGAGTAATGATGCTGAAAATTCAGCTTTACCACCATAGGAATAAACATTCAAATAGAACACAGTTCTTTTAAATTGTAATAATATTTCACAGTATTACTGTTTTTACTGTATTTTTGATCAAATAAATGCAGCCTTTTTTTTTTTAATTTGTAATATATATTCAAATAGAAAACAATTGTTTTTAATTGTATTAATATTTTACAAAATTAATGTTTTAAATGCAGCCTTGGTTAGCATAAAAAAACTTTCAAAAGCATTAAAAAATATTACTGACCACAAGCCTTTGAACGGTAGTGTATTTTTTTTATTGACACATGTTTTATGTTTTGTATGTAATGTTTATGTTTGCTGCTTCACATTATATTAATTGTGACCTTTTGGCTTCTATATCAGGATAACACGAGTGTCCACAATGCCCTATACCAGACGGTATGCATCTCTTTAAGCTTTATGTGCTTTGTTTGCAATAATAAAGATCTTCTTCCTTGTAAAATTAGCCTCAAATGAATAATTTCCTCCTCAGTGAGGAAGAAAGTCGACAGGGACGCAGTCAAGGTGTGATCGAGCACATTGGCAGGAGAACGAACAGTGACGACAGCCTCATGGAGTACGGTGAGGGTGAAGAGATCGAGTTTAATGAGGATGGCTCTTTCATTGGCGAGTACACGGGCGTCAGTAAGAGGACCATCGACACAAGCCCGTACCATGACAGCTCTGAGCCCACGTCTCCTGTGGCCATCTACTCTTTTGCTTAGAGCTCATGGTGGGATGCCCACAGTGTCCCATTGAACCAACTTTACACAGACGGACTTGACCTCAAAACACACAACACAAGATTATGATCTGTTTGACCTGTCGGACAGGCTGCAAATGATGTGTAGAGGTATGTTTTAAAGGTAAACCAGTGTTTCTGGTGATTTACAGTAAAAGTACCAATCAGTGTTTTTCAAATCCACAAATCATGCGAGAGGGAGTCAAGCAAAGATGTCTTGATGTGTTTATCATGTTGATAAGAAGACTGAAAAGAAACGGCTGATAGAAGCTTGATTTGCTGAACAAGCTTATGTTCATTTTATAAAATAACATTCAGTATCATTTCACACCGATTTACTTACACAGACATATGAAGAGATGTTGAGCATCAATAACTCCCACAATGCCTTGTTGTTTAACCAGTGTTTGATGTCACTGATAGTTGCTACTAGTTCTTGTGTATTTTGTTTTTCAATAGCACCGTTTTTACTTGTATTTTTGTGTATTTGCTGTACTGTAGGTCACATTAATGGACTACAAACCACTTATTCTCACACAAAACACAATCTAACCCTTTGCTTCATATTATAGTATGATGTACATGATGGCTTTTGTATTTTTTTTTCAGACTGTTAAGAGTACTATCATAAATGTAGTAGTGCTTCAGTTATTAAAGTGCATCAAGTGAATTAATGCCTTTGTGGTAACTGAAGTAAAGGTCATAATAGGTCACAGTGACCAGGGCCTATCAAGCTCCAAAAAGAGCAAAAACAAGTGATAAAAGCACCATAAAATGGTCTGTATGAATCATTCACTGTATCTTCCAAGCAGGGCCATCTGGCAATTCTGGCAAATGCCAGCGGGGCCTGACCATTTTGTTTAATGTGGGCCGGTCAGATTTGTTCTAAATATATGAATAAAATAGTTTTTACGGGCCAACAGCTCATAGGATGTGTTTTTATCGCTTGCACAATTTCTCTTTGGTTATAATAATAATGTTAATAATAAATAAATGTTAAGCATTTGGCCAGTCGAATGCTTAACTGGGCATCTCAGGACCATCTTGCCTGGTTCCGAGATGGGCCGACCGAACCGTTCAGTCAAAATCAAGCACATCATCAGAGAGAGAGATTGCAACACGAGCTAATTTTCAGTAAAAGCTAGGTAATGGACCGTAAAAAAGGAAAGGTGGTGCAGAAAAACTTTGAGAAAGGGGGGAAAAAAAGGGCTTAAGTCCGACGTTGCTAAATGCGTAAAAATAACCGAACTCTTTTCAAAAGGTTTAATTCGGCTGCTGCAGTGGAGAACAGTTAGTGCCGCACAGGTACACTCTTAAAAATAAAGGTGCTTCACGATGCCATAGAAGAACCTTTTTGTCTAAATGGTTCCATAAAGAACCTTTAACATCTGAAGAACCTTTCTGTTTCACAAAAGGTTCTTTGTGGTGAAAGAAGGTTCTTCAGATTACAAAAAGGTAAGAAAGAGATGGTTCTTTAAAGAACCTTTGACTGAATGGTTCTTTGTGGAACCAAAAATGGTTCTTCTATGACATCGCTTGAAGAACCTTTTGAAGCACCTTTATTTTTAAGAGTGTAAGAAGAAAACAGAAAATACAGCTAGCTCAAGTAATTTTTACACTACTTCTGCCGGTTAGCTCCTGTTTTTTTTTTTGACAGTACCCTACATTGTATTCGGGGCCTGACCATTTTGTTTAATGTGGGCCGGTCAGATTTGTTCTAAATATATGAATAAAATAGTTTTTACGGGCCAACAGCTCATAGGATGTGTTTTTATCACTTGCACAATTTCTCTTTGGTTATAATAATAATGTTAATAATAAATAAATGTTAAGCATTTGGCCAGTCGAATGCTTAACTGGGCATCTCAGGACCATCTTGCCTGGTCCCGAGATGGGCCGACCGAACCGTTCAGTCAAAATCAAGCACATCATCAGAGAGAGAGATTGCAACACGAGCTAATTTTCAGTAAAAGCTAGGTAATGGACCTTAAAAAAGGAAAGGTGGTGCAGAAAAACTTTGAGAAAGGGGGAAAAAAAAGGGCTTAAGTCCGACGTTGCTAAATGCGTAAAAATAACCGAACTCTTTTCAAATGGTTTAATTCGGCTGCTGCAGTGGAGAACAGTTAGTGCCGCAGAGGTACACTCTTAAAAACAAAGGTGCTTCACGATGCCATAGAAGAACCTTTTTGTCTAAATGGTTCCATAAAGAACCTTTAACATCTGAAGAACCTTTCTGTTTCACAAAAGGTTCTTTGAGGCGAAATAAGGTTCTTCAGATTACAAAAAGGTAAGAAAGAGATGGTTCTTTAAAGAACTTTTGACTGAATGGTTCTTTGTGGAACCAAAAATGGTTCTTCTATGACATCGCTTGAAGAACCTTTTGAAGCACCTTTATTTTTAAGAGTGTAAGAAGAAAACAGAAAATACAGCTAGCTCAAGTAATTTTTACACTACTTCTGCCGGTTAGCTCCTGTTTTTTTTTTTGACAGTACCCTACATTGTATTCAACAGTTGTAAGCTTAGCGTATATTTTAAAATGTCTTCGATTCGTGATAATTGGTTAACTTAAGTGTTAACAAGCCTGTTACTGAATTGCATGACTGAAATATCAGCAGATAAAGTGGGATTTAGGGTAAAAACTGATGTAGGCTACTTGCAATATAGTCTAACACATCAAAAACCTATAGCAAATAGCCATAGGTACTATAGACATTTGTAGTGAACTTTACTTTGAATATGTAGATAGTCATATATTAAAATAAAACATTGAGCACACGTACATATACGTTTACAGTATGCAATTAATCCTTAGGTAGGGTGGACTGCAGAGTCAAGTGTCATGGAGGTAGAAAGACACAAATGAGAGAGATGCACCCTGATACAGGTGCTGCCAGTTTCTTAATAATGTGGCTCTAATGAACTATTAATTAACTCTTAGGATAGGAGGAACCTGTGCCTGTGTCACACAGACACAGAGAGAGAGAGATCACACACACACACACACACACACACACAAACAAACATACTAGAAACACTTCAGCATACTTTAATTCACAAATAATTGTATATCAAAAAGGATTTACTGCTGCTACTATTTATAGTTTTTGCAATATATTCCATTTCCTTTTTTGCTATTACTACTTGTCGGTCCTCCAGCGCTCTGTGGCCCAAACACATGCTAGTGCCTCTTTTTCTACTGTGGAGTACTTCCGTTCTGCTGCGGTAAGAGTGCGTGAGGCAAAAGCCACTGTTCTCTCCGAGCTCCCTGTAGAGGCTTACTCAGAACACCACACCCTGGTTTTCCAATACCAGTGCTGTGAGGAAGGATGCTACGGTAGGCCAAGCAGAGACAGGGAGGAGTGTGGTAGAGGTAGGAAAAACCCAACAGACAGACAGTGACAACAAAGAACAACATACTGTAGAGAATGACAGTAACAGCAGACAAATGGCATAAACAGACAGCACACAGACTCTACAACATCCTCAGATTCTTTTTCTTTTGCTTTTACTGTATGTGCAAATTTGTTATAAGCGTGTGCTCTTTAAAAAGTAGTAAGCATTGTTTGCCAGACGCATACATTAAATGTTTAAATATCTGTTACATATATGGTACTGCTTATATTATTTCACCATCTGCACACAAATGTAAGTAGTGAATGCGTGTGTCCGTGGGTGGGGCAATGTGGTAATGTGGGCTGGTGTGGCTAAGGCTGAATTTTTGTCCCAGTCCGCCCCTGCTTCCAAGTCTTCTGACTGAAGTCATATTACAGATTTGTGTGAGAAACAGACCAAAGTATAATCTTGCCTTCCCCCGAATCTCACATCTATTCCACATACGGGGTTTGAACTACATGAACATAAGTAAGCAATAACACTGTTTTCATATTTATATGACCTGTCACGTTAAGGGTCCGTTACGAGGCTGATAGGCCAATATTCTCCACTAGAGGACAGAGTGAACTGACCAGATCCTAAACACGAGCTCTACTACAAACATGGGCACGCTTACACAACCTGTATTCGAACATTGAGAAACCACAGTCTCTGTAAGTTGTATATTATGTTTAGTTTTTATTATGAAACAGAAAAAAAACATGTCTAACACCAGCAGTGCTGATAATCATGTAAATTTACAGAAAGGGTAGTACAAGTTCAGAGATTTATTTCATTTTTGAGTCACATGTTTGAGTAATATTCATAATACAGCATTCTGTGCAAACATAGAAGGAAGTTCACAAACCAGGGAAGTGAAATATTGCCACACTGTTTAATGACTGTTTACTTCTCATACTTCAATGTGACAGTGTTTTGTAATGGATTATTTTTTAGACTTGTTCCTTTTTTCCTCTGTGCAAATTTAGTCATTAAATGACTAAAGCAGTTTTTAAAATCTATTATACAATGATTCATTTGACCCTGGGAGACCAAGTCTAATTGTGTCAAAGATTAAAGGATTAGTTCACTTTCAAATTAAAATTTCCTGATAAATTACTCACCCCCATATGTCATGCAAGATGTTTACGTCTTTCTTTCTTCAGTCGAAATCGATGTAGGACGATTTAGAACGATTTTGAAGTTGGAGAAAATGAGATGGGAGTTTTTCGACATACCCTAACTGTTATGAACCGGAATGCAGAGTTCACTCAGAGCTAGACGAGATGAGCGTTTGAGGTTAAAAAGTACATAAATTGTAGCGCTCGCTCACGCACACTCACGTAAGCCTCGCCCACTCCTGACAGCAAAATGGATATATTTGCATGACTAACTTTCTAACATTTACCACAACTAATGCTTTCTAACATTTACAGATGAAAAATATACCTGTCTGACTTAAACATAACTGTTTATTTCATCTTCATGGAACTTCTCGTCAGGTTTAGTATCGTGGTGTCCACATCAGCAAACAGGCGGACGTTTATTCAGTCCTCCATCACATTTCTGAGGAAACATGGCTTTGATGGTCTAGATCTGGACTGGGAGTATCCGGGTTCTCGTGGAAGTCCTCCAGAAGACAAGCAAAGGTTCACTCTGCTCTGTAAGGTACTGCAGTATTTATATAATAATAATAAAAAATAAAAAGATTTTAATCCACTGCAAACCTGTGACTATAACAGGAGATCTTGGAAGCTTATGAGGCAGAGAGTGCTGCCACTGGACGCCCCAGACTCATGCTCACTGCTGCAGTGGCTGCTGGTAAAGGAACCATTGATGCTGGTTATGAAATTGCAGAAATTGCCAAGTATGTCTTCTGAAGAGTTTTTGTTCACTTTGAATCATGAAATACGAATGTGTTTTGGACGGCATACCTTAAAATATCAATCGAATTAATATTTAATGATTTTATTTGGTTGAGTGTCTTGAGTCTGAACTGATGGCTCTGAATTTGCGTTTACCTTCTGGTAATGCAGGTGTTTGGACTTCATTAATGTGATGACCTATGACTTCCATGGCTCATGGGAAAGTGTCACTGGGCACAACAGTCCTCTGTACCGTGGCTCTGGAGACACAGGAGACAATCTCAACTTCAATACTGTAAGAAGGCCTTATATCCAACTGTATTCTTAGCTTCTGAAATATAACATGTACAGTCATGGCAGTGACATACATTGTGTTTTGTAAAGTTTGCTGCTTCAGTATTTGTAGATTATTTTTCCACATGTTTCTATGGTATACTGAAAAACAATAAGTATATCATAAGTTTTAAAGGCTTTTATTGGCACCACTTCTTTATCACTCTTGCTTTGTGACATGGTGCTCCATCATGCTGGAAAATGCATGGATCATCTCCAAATTGCTCATGGATCATTAGAAG